AGTACAGACTGCAGAATCCAAACTATCTCGGACAAAACGAAAAAGGATTCATTGCTCCTCTGTATAAAGATACAAGATACAGATCCTTGTTACACATCAAACTGTTCCATTAAAGAACGATATAAGAGAGGAATAGATACCAAGGTAGACACTAATGAGACTAGTTATCAGATCAAAAACAGTCTAAAAGATGTTGATCTGTTCTGTAGCTTTGAAAAAGCTGGAGACAGATACGTAGAAGACAAACCTTTAAACATGAGGTGCCAAAATGAGTCAAGTCATCATGCGGTTTTCAGCACGAATAAAGTAATTAATAGCTTCCAAGACACATCGACAATCAAACAAGGATGTATATGTAATTCACAAACTGCAGAAGGTATGTTTCTGAAAATTAAATAAGAGACCGTTGATTAATGTTGCTTGATGAACACAATTTGAAAAATATATATTTTAAATTATAAAAATGAAAATTGGAAAATTGTACATTCACAGTCTATAAAGCTTTAGGTGCTAGTTAATGATTAGAAACACGACAAAATATCATTATGACGCATGTGCATAATTGTAATAACACAGACCCTTACCTTTTTTTATTTTAAGTATTTGTCCAATGCTTCTAAATCATTTTTATCAATAATGTATTACAGTAACTGTTGATCACAATTATAAAGACTGTTTCAAAAGAAATTTGGAATTTTAAAGCAATAATAAGATAGCCATCACGTAATAGTGTCGGTACAGATTCATCTCTTTACGTCAACTAAGCAATGAATCCAGTGTTTTACAATGTAATGAAAATGTATTTCTTGTAAGGTAAACCAAATTATATTCAATTTCAAATATTTAATTACAATTATGGCTTCATTATTAGACTTGGAATGCATGGTCACCCGGGGCACCCCAAAATTTTAATTGAAAGGTCATTTATCACTTGATAATTATCATTTGTATTTTGGAAAACTCCGCGGAAATGCCGAATGCTTTTACATTATGAGTTTGACAAAAGTTATAACTTCTAATCTGCAAAATTTGAACGTTCAGAGTTTAAAATGGCTGAGAAATCGAGGTTAAAATCTATTAAGTCAGGATCGGCATTGATCGAAAAAGGACTTTTCGGAAAAGGTGGAGCAGAGAGCAGTAATAAAATTCTGCGTAGACATAGGGAAAACAGCAAAAGATACCCATAAATGCTATTAACAGTCGGGAAAAAATAGTAAAGGAAGTCGTTCTTAAGTATTTAAGTGGAATATAAAATTTTGGGAACGAAGGAATAGTTTACAGGATGCCATGCTTGAAGGAAGACCATCATTCCGAGATTGCAGTGCTGTAAAAAATGAATTTCTTAGCGTGACTTTGATGATTTGCTGGATCTGAGAACAGGAAGTATTAAATATCATTTTAAATATGAAATCTGAATATTTGTACACATTTTTGATGACTGATTAAAGGGACATAAGAAATGTATTGAGTTAAACGATGACTGTGTTACGAAAATTCCCATGTATTGATATTTTGACGTCAGGTACAGTCAAGGATTTCTGTTTTAGTACTCCGGATATGAATGTGTTTTGTATCTGATAAACATACATTGTATAACTATTTGTGTTTTGCTTTTTTTAAAATTTGCGTTTGTATAAAATGAAACAATATTTTATGAAAATAATAGTTTCATATATTTTATCAATGTTTGTCAGTAATTATCAATGTTTTTAATTACAGGAACGAGCAATGAAAGACAAAGCGACATGTGGTAACTAGACACAACCTAGAAGGAAACGAAGCACGGGGGAAAACAAATCTTGCCAAAATATTTTGAAAGTAAGGGCATATATGTTTTTTCTTATGATCTTTTGGAATTGGCTAGCAACAGTTCACAAATGGCAAAGAGCAGAATGGGTTTTGAGATTGCTTTTATAACTGACAGAAAGGACACTTGTTTCATAGGGTCAGGTGAACATGAATTTAATGACTATGTAGTCATGAAGAAAGTTATTTGGCTTTTTTTTTACCCCCTTTTACAAAAATATTTCAGAATTTAACCTTGCTTTTATAACTTCTGAACATTTGGTGCTAGAGCCTTTATACTTCACATGTGTATTTTTGATGACAAGACCTTTAAATAGATATAAATATTTTTGGCCTTTTGAATTTGACTTTAGAGATAAACCCACTAAGTCATAATTTTGAGCAGTATACTTTCAAATTTCACAAACGTATTTTTTGAAACAAGACCTTACTTTGGATATCGACAATTTAGATCTTTCGACCTTCACTTTGGAGTTTGACTTGCATTTCAGTACGTTAAATCTCTTTATAAGCTGCCATATCCATAAGGGGACAAAACACACCTTGTTTCCTTTGCTCTCACCCTACATTTGAAAAAAAAAACTGGTTTATTGAAATAAAAAAAATGTACATCACAACATACAGACAGAGAAATGTTGATCCTAAAAGTGTAAATTGGGTTTCAAAGATTTATAATTTCGATGTGTTGATTTTAATTTGTTTTTTTTCCATACCTTTAAAACGTGTCTGCAGACGCTAAACATAGCAAACGAAATTGGAGTGACCTTTTTATAATCATGATTTGTGATTTGTAGTTCTTGTGGAGCGATAGCCGGGGTGGTGATTGGCTGCCTGATTGGTTTTGCACTTTTGATCGCCTTAATTGTTGTTTGCTGTAACATCATGAACAAAAATAGAGGCACGGCGGGACGAGTTGTATATCCTAACAACGGCTCAAATAACGTCACTGTTGAGAACTCATCCAATCGGAATCCTTATACAGGTAAAAAGATAACCGTTTTTCATCACATCAGAGTCCTAAGTATACAGGTAAATAGACAGAATCCTTTTACAGGTGCTCAGTTAACCGTGTTACAACTCGAAATACATTTACAGGTGCAGGGTGAACCGTATTTCATTTAATCAGAATCCTTTTTACAGGTGCAACGATTAACCGTTATAAATATCATATTAGAATCCGTTTACAGGACTACAGAAAACTGATTTTCTAGTTAATGAATGTTTTATGTTAGAATGCAATATTTAAAACAAAATTACAATTTTGTTTTGAAACGCTTGAAGATAATAAAATTGTTTAAGAAATAAATTAACAATATGATTGTGTAGTATTTCAGTGGACGCATGTTTATTTGAATTTAATGTATAATTTATGAATATTTGAAATTTTTACCTTAGAACCACAATACTATGTTGTAAATAGGAAATACGATTTATTATCCCAGAAAGATAAATCATTAAAGAAAGAAATCGGTAAAACCATTAAAACAAAATCATAAGTCTGATTTAAACATTTATTGCATGCCAAAGAATATTTGATTTATTATGCATTGATAACTAATGTCCTGATAAACAGATATTTATATGCCTTAAGTTCCTTCAAAGTTAAGTTAACCAATAAACAGAACATTGAAAATAGATTTTGATTGCTTTTTTTATTCAGATTATTTAGATGGTCCTATTCAACCCCCAGGATACGCCCAGTCTACTTATTTCTCAGGGACCTGGACCCGTGGACCGGCCTATCCCCGCGGGACCGTCACAAACCCACCTCCTCCTCCTCCTCCGTCCTATACCCAGGCAAGGCACCGACTCTTATCCACAAAAGTATTGATTCCAAGCCAAAGCATTGGTGCTATAACACGAATGTCTGTGATATAATCTATAATGTTGGTTAATTTCAAAGCTTTTGAAGTATGTCCTAGCATAAAAAAATTAAGATTTAATATCGGGATTGATATTATCGTTGTGAGTTCTTGTGAATTTGCCTTTTTTTAAATTTTAGAAATAAAAAGAATATTATAGTTTATCATAATTACCTATTTATATTTGTTATTTTGTGTTTATCTATTTTGAAGTATATGCGGTAAATATATGCCTGTGAACTAAAATCACATCTCTATTAACTTATATTATATAAAACTAACTACACTTATATATGTCTTAATAATTATTTCAGTAGTAAAAGATAGGTTGAGTCATATACAATTCTGGTACTTATAAAATGAATTAGAACTCTATTTCAATGGGTTTAGTAGATATTCTATCTACTCAATCTTTGAAATTGGAATATTTCATACAGTTTAAGCAAAAGTTCCTTTTGGACATACCTTAAACCATTTTAATGTTACTGTATAATTTTTTAAAGGTTGAATGATTCTTAATTATAAATTATATGTAAAATTACAAATAAGTCACAACCATTTAAAAATTTAATAGATTCTTCCACGTAATAGGAAACTTTCGTGCATATTAATGTATAAATTTAATTTGGTAAGTTTTGGGGGTTTTTTTCAAGTGTGTAATATTTCATATATCAAAAACATCATTTTTATTAGTAATAAAAATTACATACATGTACCAGTTCATTAAACTCTTATGATAAACAAGGTAAAATTCAGACAGTGATCAAATCTAACAATTATTAAAGACAATGGAAAATTTTGAACTGAGCATAATACACTGTGACATCTAGTGCCTAGGAGGAGTAAGGGTTGACGAATTAATTCGGCCTTGAACCCTGTTCATAAGGTTAAAAAACTAACCTTTAAGAAAAAAATAAAATAATGGTCTTATAATAGATATGAAACGTTCAGTCGAAATAATACGTTACGACAGGTTTTATTTGCGAACAACATCGTTGAATATAATTTTTTTATAGGATGACTTTCAAGTAGGCTGTAAAAATCCCTCTCACTTGAACATATTTTTTAGTAACTGCCTCGGTGAAAAATTATTTGGACCCATAACCTATTCTTGTGTATAATCTACACCATTCATAAGATCAATTAAGAAACACCTGCTCCTTCATGAGAAACAAACCTCCAATATGGCTGGGGTTTTCTTGGGGGGGGGGTTAGTTTAAACACCGTATTTTTGTTCTCCGAGTAGAATGCCGAAATTAAATTTTCTTATACTCATTTGTTTTATTGCTTCTAAATTTACGTTCTTCATATTCATTAGCTTAACATATGTATTTGTGATAGTGTAATGTCGCCTAATTCACTATGTAAAAAAAATCTCGGCGAGATCCAACTTGGTGTATTTTCCGGCGCAGTTTTGACAACGGTACTATTGAAATGGACTTGTGACGACGTGTAGCATTCACTTTGGTGCTTTACCGAACACAAAGAAACACAACAATGCACAGATATAAATAGATTTTATATACTTTAATGAATATGCAAATGATAGAAATGTTTAATGTTTGTTCAGAGGCGTAGGCGACTCGGCAATGCGAAATTCGATGGACGCACCTCTATATATTGGATATGATCCCTTACAAATCCAAGAAAACCATTGTCAACCGAGGCGCAGTCGAGGTTGACAATTGTGTTTGAGTGTAAAATTTTTTAGATGTTACACTTAACTACATGCAATATCTATTATATTATAATAAATGTTTATATAACAGTGAACCGTGCGCGCATAAATTCTCCGCAGTCGCTATTTTTTTAGGTCACCTGAGTAACTCAGGTGACCTATTGCTATCCGTTTTCGTCCGTCGTCCGTCGTGCGTCGTGTGTCGTGTGTTAACATTTGAACATTTTCAGCTTCTTCTCTGAAACCACTGAACCAATTTCAACCAAATTTGGTATACAGCATCAATGGGTTAAGGGAACAAAAATTGTGAATTTCATGGTCCCCGCCCCCCTGAGGCCTGAGGGGTGTGGCCAAAACCACTAAAATTAATGAAATCTTTAAAAATCTTCTTCTTTACTCCTGGACATCAAGCAGGCAAACTATTGGCATGAATGTAATGAGCATTGAGTCCTCTACCGAAATTGTGAAATTCATGGCCCCAGGGTCAGGGGTTCTAGTGCTAGGGCGGGGCTCTATAGATTATATAGTGAAAATGCATTATTTCTTTGAAAATCTTCTTCTCTGTTCCTGGGTATTAAATACACTAACTAAGCACATAGTTATGATGAGCAAGAGTGCCTCTTCCAGATTTGTGAATTTCATGGCCCCAGGGTCAGGGGTTCTGGTGTTAGGGCGGGGCTCTATAGATTATATAGTGAAAATGCATTATTTCTTTGAAAATCTTCTTCTCTGCTCCTGGGTATTAAATACACTAACTAAGCACATAGTTATGATGAGCAAGATTGTCTTTTCCAAAATTGTGAATTTTATGGCCCCAGGGTCAGGGGTTCTGGTGTTAGGGTGGGGCTATTGATTATATAGTGAAAATACATGAATTCTCTGAAAATCTTCTTCTCTGCTCCTGAGTATTAAATAAACTATCTAAGTGCATAGTTATGATGAGCAAGAATGTCTTTTCCAAAATTGTGAATTTTACAGCCCCAGGGTCAGGGGTTCTGGTGTTAGGGCGGGGCTCTATTGATTATATAGTGAAAATACATTAAATCTTTGAAAATTTTCTTCTCTGCTCCAGGGTATTAAGCAGATGAACTACCTATATAGTTATGATGGACAAGGGCTCTAATCTTCCAGAATTGTGAATTTCAAGGCCCCAGGGTCAGGGGTACCATAGAGGGGGGGGGGGAGCTGTACTTATATACTGAAAATGAATGAATGGTTTGAAATCTGCTCCTTAGTATTAATCAAATATCAAGGCCTAAGGGTCAGGGGTTCATGTGTGGTAGGGGCACTACTTATTATTGCTGAATATAAATGATTAGTTGAAATGCATTTTTTGTTCCCTTACCCTGCGTATGGGTATTAAGTAACAAACTAAGCAACTGCTAAGTGTATTGTTATGATGATCAATGGTGCCTCTTTCAAAATTGTGAATGCCATAGTATCTGGCTTAAAACATGAATCAAATTCAATCACTAGAAAGTTGTTGCATAATGCTCAGG